AAGCAATTGCAAGGATGTGAGACTTATTGCTTATTTAGCAAGATTGCTAAATAAGCAATCCTTCTTGCAATGCCACATAGACAATTGGACCCCACATTTATGCACTCAAAATCTTTTTTTTTTTCTCTCTTTCTTTTCTACCCACTTTGAACATACAAATTGTTAAACTTGATGTAGTAGGTCCCATCAATTGCAATTGCTAACCTACTGCAGGGATGCAGGTGGTTTGAAATGGTTGAAGTGAATAATTACTAAAATTGCTAATGTGGCTGTAGGGTCCACTTATGAAATTGCTATCCTATTGCAGGGATGGAGATGGTCTTATCCTCATAAATTATATCAAATCTTATCTAACATATGAGTTATAACATATAATATTACACCAAAATAACATATCGTACTTAGATCCAACATATAGTGAAAATTCACACACTTCTATAACATAAATATTCAAATGTTCAACTTAGTATTCAAATATTCAACTTAGTATTCAAAAGATTGAGTTATGCAAAAAGAAAAATTGGAAAATAGGCGCATTTCGCAAACTAAAGAAAAAAATGACACAATTTGACATCCAACCCGATACTTTATAGCAGTCGGCCAGACGGGTGCGTGCGGCCCATTTTTCTCACCGGGTCAGGGTCAAATTGGATCGACCCGCGGGTTGACAACCTTGACTCCACCAATACATAGAAACCATCCACAAAATAATGTCTTCAATTACAGGTCAATATATAGTTTCAACCACTCAATAATCACCTCTAATCGTCATCTGCAATAATGAACATGAACGAACATTCAAACAAACCGCCTTTCAAGAAATTTGAAAACAGTGCACACGTAATTTCAAGACGAGCTCTTCGACCGTGATCCATCCCATCCGTAGGAACCAACAAAGTGGCGGGTGGCCTGGTGAGTCGATCCAAAACACCACCGCAGATATGGACGCCCGGCTGCACGGTCTCGTTTGGTGAATTCACCTATCCATCTACTGACTCTACTCTATTCTACTCTGTGTGCTGCATACAGTTTCCACGTCACATTCTGCAGTCAGTGGAGCCTGAAAAAGCCCCTGTGAGACGATTTTGTCATCTTTTATTTCAGGCATTACCAGTTACCAACTTACCACTACCACCATTCGGTTATTCCATTCCACCTCCATTTCAAGCATTACACCTCACACAGTCTCCACAGTTGGGGCCAGTGAGCGATATATTCCCTCCCTGGCCTGGCCACCATGTGAGCACAGCTCAATAATGGAGTCAGCAGTCGGTCTATGAACTGACTCTCATAAGATATACGTGACCACTGACCATACCAGACTGTGACTGGCTAGAATCTAAAAAGAAAAAGGACCCAGCCAGATAATGGCTAAGGGCTAAGGTAAAGCTTTTTTCTTTTTCCGGAAGAAGAAGGCAAAAGCATTTCAGAAACTGTGCCTGTGGAGTGGTGTGTTGTCAATCAAAGTATGATAAAAGGTAGGGAAAGGAAGAGTAGGAGTAAAGTACCGTTTTTCTTTTTTCTTCTTCATTCAAATGAAAATGATTGTAGGAGCTCGGAAAGGCCGGGGAATTCCCAGATCTCGCCAATCTCTCGTCTTCTCAATGGTCCCATCTGAATTGGCACCTGGTGAATCCTGTCGGGGTCAGTTGGTAAAACAGAGGGAGGGAGGAATCTGCGTGGAGTATGTAATTCAAACAAATAGTAAGTACTGTGATGAGTATTGCCAAGAAACAATATGCCATAGTTTGGCCAAACAAGTACACATTTCATGTTGAACATCATGGGTTTTCTGACTAATGATATAGGAAACTACATGCCAAGAATATACTTGTAAAAGAATCCCGAGTCTGAATGAGTGAAATGGGGAACTGAATGAGTTCCGGGATCTTACAATTTACAAAGAGCACCCAACCCTTTAACACTTTGGTGAACCGATCGGCTAACCTGCACACTATCATGTCAATCGGTGACGACCTTGATGAGATCCTTTCCCGGTCACAGCTTTGTTAAGCTGCAAAGCAGCAATTTGGTCAATTTAGGAAGAAAAGGAATGGGCATATGAGGAGAGATTTAAGGTGTGCGGGACTCTTCTAATTCCTGCCATCTACATCAAAGCCAGCCCCAGTCCAGCCAGGTTGTCTTTTGGGCACAGCACCAAGGACACCCCTTCCTTTTCCATGGACTTGAGCCTTCTTCTTAACTCCTCCTGAAGCAGGTTGCTGTTGATTTGGGCCATTTGGGACTTGGCAGTTACGTTCTTGGTTAGCTGCATTTCCAGTGTCCTCACTACTATCTTATGGTGGTGGTGTTGGAGGAACTGAGGAAGCACCTGTTACCGGGTTGTTCTGCATTGGTCCCACTGGTTGTCCGGTCTGCACAAATAAATTGCAAATCTAAAACCATAACGGATCCTATTCATACGCCTTATAAGATGCCTTATTTGTGGACTTCTTCACCTTAACTAGAGGGGTGCAGGGAATAGTATTTGGATAGAGCCTAAAGGAATCCATGTTGAAGTTTATAGCTATAGTTAGTGGACCAGCACACCATTAACAATGCAGTAGGTGTCCTAAATAATAAAATGTCCTTGCACTAGCGATTATAATATATGCTCACTCAAACACAAGATGAAATGACAGGTCTCAAATGAGAATCTTACATGAGGAGAAGCAGTAGAAACTCTGTTTGGATTTAAAGCTTCCAGACAACTTTTTAATTCTTCAAGTCTAGTAAACTGTGAGGCACTGCTCTCTTGGACCTGGAAGAAAAAATCAAATCCATAAGAAAGGAGAAAGCAGATGGCGAAGGAAACGACAAGATTCTAAGTTTTAATTAATATCCCAAATCAAGATTCATACCAGTTGATTCAAGTCTTCGCATAACTTCTGCTTCATTGCTTCCTCATCTTTCAATGCCTGCAGTGTTGCTTCCGATGCCTAAAACATAAACATTCTCGACGCATTACAAAAGACTGTATTTCCAAATCAGCTTATTATTAGTTAGAATTATTAAAACACAAGTTATCAAAATTACCAAAACAATAAAGTTACTGTTCATTACGACAAAATAGCGGTAACCACTCTTTAATCGGAAACTCTAACCCATACGGCGCCGTAAGACACACTTTTACCGAAAATAATGGCACTTTCGTCGGGAAACACTGTTCATCTCCGGATTATTGAATGGTTTAATTCCCTGTGGCCCTTTGTAGGGTAATTCCGTGGGAAGACCCTGTCGGTTGGCCAACATCGGATGAACTTACCCTATGGGGTCATGAAGAAGAGGAGAGAAGGTGGCTAGGATTTCGGGACTTCAAATGATTTCAAAGACAAGGATTGAAAACTATTGTAGAGCCCAATTCCCCTCCCTCCAGTTGTGCAAGCGATGGAAGTAATGCTCTGGCGCTGAGAAGTCTCTCATGCAAAGAAGAAGATGAGCTGAGATTTTGTGAATTTCAATTTTAAATCTTATAGATCCACTTGAGAATTGAGATGGATACCTTAGCTGAATTGAAAAGGAAATAGCACTAACAACTATAAGAGGGCCTCAAGTGATGGAGGATCATCACCTCCCCTCCATTCTCCGTCTGGCTATCTAACTAATGCATGCAAGAGGGGATTTTTGGATGTCTAGCTAATAGAGAGCAACAAATAGTTGGATGGCAGGAAAATGGACAAGCGGCTCAGGTGCATTTGTTGCATGAATTGGAGCCTACACGTGTACACCAACAAAATTATACTGTTGGTGGAAGCCAAATCTTCTTCTATCTCCTTCTCTTCAATTTACGGATTTAGTTGCCTTCGCTAACTAATAATTAGCTCTTATATTTACTACTTCAACAGAAATTTGTGACCATTCCTTCCAAACTTGCTATAAGGTCAACACTAATTTTGAGATTATAGTGAAATTTATGGTTTACAATAAGGATGTGCATTGATTTTAGTTGGACACTTTGGTTATAAGACTTTTTTTCTACCCTTATACCAATTTTATTGAAAGTATTTTTTCTTCAATAGTCATTTGTCTTTTGTAATTTTTTGTTCTCATTCCCTATACCCTATTTTACGGCAAACCTTACTCCCTGTAAAGATATTTATTTCATATTACGAAAGATTTAAAAATACATTAACTTACTTATAAATATATTATGTAAAACTTATGAAGATTTTTTTTATTTCTTATATATTAGTTAAAAAATGTACTACGTAGTTTTTCTTTTATAATTAAGACACTACGCAAAACATATAGATGAATAGTGAATTAAGCATATTAATTAAGTGTTTCGTATATTTAATTTTGAACAAAAATTCATATATTATCAACTTAACATTTGACTATCTTATACATATGCATTACACAAATTTTTTGTATGGTCAGTTATTTTTTACCTAACAATTTAATCAAATGTGACAGTATTCATGAATTAACTCATTCATTTTTTTTGGTAGAAATTAACTCATTCATTAGTGACAACAATATTCACCATCTCATTAATTCACATTACAAATGTTATGTTGGATCATTTAGATTTTAAATACCTTTTCTAAATTAATTACATTATTCTTCAATAAAATTCCATTATTATTGCCTCAAATATTCATCATTTCATCAATTTATATTACGTAGAAGTTTTCATAAGATAAGTTAACTTTTATGCAATAGTTAAATCAAATGTGATAATTTTTTATAAGTTAATTGCATTATTAGATCACACATAAAAAATAATTTACGTAACATTATTCTATAACAATTAAGTAAATTACAAATACATTACATAAAACTTATAAAGGGATAGTGATTCCTTATGTATAAGTTAAACAAACGTATAACATAAATTTTGGATACTAACTAAAACTTAAAAGGTTATCTTACCCGAATTATTTTTTAAATTATCCTATTTCAACCGAATCATTAAAAAATTAGATGAAATTTTTATTATAAATCATGTTTTACTGCAGCGAAGCGCGGGCCAAATAACTAGTGGTAATTAAAACTGGTTAAATGCTTTTAACAGAGAAGTGGCTAAGGTTGGGAGTTTAAAGGCTTAGGGGCCTAACCTTCCGTGCTTGTTCCTCCTTCACCTTGGCTTGACGAATCTTTACAGTTGAAACTTCAATTTTCATTTTCAGATGCTCGAGTGCTTAAGTCATCATGTGGCGTTTCAACATGGTGGTAGTGGAGTCAATAAGAAATAAGAAACGAGACACGAAAGAAGCAGGATATGTAAACAAAACAGCAGTGACCAACCAGCTTTTTTAAGGTCCAGCAGTTAGTTTCATCTCCATGGATAGATTTGCAAGCTCTCGCTCTACACCAAGTAGCATCGACTTGTTTATCTGCATTATAGACAACTAAAGATACTGAAACCTGTAGATTCATGCATGCTGGGCATTTAATGGAGACAAATAAACAACGATGGTGATGAATCTCTTAAATTTCTCAAATATCTTAACCTTCAGCAAACAATTACAGCAATTCAGGTTCAGAGAAATGGCATCTAAGTCCCAGAATTATCGAGTACCAATCAACAATAAGCGCTGAGTAGAGTAGAGAAGCATTTAGGAACAGCAGTGGTACTAGACTACTAGGAATCCAAATTCTAGGCAGAAGTATGCGTTATGCGTACAGTATCAGATCCAAACGAAACAGAATTGTGAGGGAAAAGAGAGTAGTGAAGAACTTACTTGTGTAATTGAAGCTGCTCTTCTGCAATTACCTGAAAGGAAAACGCAAATGCCAGATGATGAAAACTTCATTAGGCCAACTGATCGTAATTGGAAATGAGAACCATAACGAGAGAGAGAGAGGGACATAACCTTCTCGGTGTAGGCGATGATCGGAGATTCTCTGGCGAGACCGTCGGGCCCAATCTCAGGCTCAGGAGAAGGATTCGAAGCCATTTTCGCCCGCAAGAACGTAGAAATCACCAAGAAAGAAGTCCGAATCTCCGGCAAAAGGAAAATTACGCTCCGGCGAAAGTCGGCCACAACCACAAATGCAACTGTATTTCTTCTCAGATTCTTTATCGTCTCTCTGGTCGGTGTCGGTCCGGCCGCGCTCTGTCTGCTTATTTTCGCCTTCCTCTTTCTTAGCTGGATCCGATTCGCAAATTAATTTTGGTGTTTCCAGACGGAGAATTGGGCTATAAGCCCAGACCAAGTTAAGATAAAAAAAAAAAAAAAACTGGATGGTGTGGGCCTCTGGGCTCCGACACGGAGTTGGTCTCTGACTAGGGCCTTAGTCCATCTCCATACTCCAATGGTAAATACAAAAATGTCAAGATTTGAGGTTAGATTTAACATTCTACCTCCGCCAAAAAGGTTTTTACCTAAAATTTCAAAATCTCCAAATTTGAAATTTTGTCTTAAATTACATTAGTATATGCTTCGTCGCTTTAATTAAATAATTTGTTAATTATTTTTATATAGGTAGATATAATTAATTAAGATGAACATTTCAATGTATTTTTTTGATTTGAACATTGAAAAATGTTATTTTCAAATATGATGTCATCAGTAATCAAGAGTTTGAAAATAAAAAGAGAAGCTTTTTAATTGATGGGAAGAAGATGAATCTTCTTGTTCTCAAACTCTTGATCATTGGTTATCAATAAACAAATCTTGATTATTAATGACGTTATATTTGAAGAGAAAATTTCTAATGTCCCAATCTAAAATAAATTTTCTTCATTAATTATTATTATCTATATAAAATTATGAACAAATTATTTAATTAAAGTGATAAATCTACACTAATTTGTAAAGTGGGGAGGCCAATTTTTTTTTATCTTATCTAGGCCAAAATTTGTCCCAAATCCTCCACTTTTTGAAAATATTAGCCTTTTTAACCATTGTTTGAGGTAGTTTTCTTAGAACTTTTTCCTTTGAACCATTAAAGGTAGTCTTAATAGGTTAAATCATGGATATGAAAAATCGGTGTTACCCTTCTCGTCCATTGTTCACGATAGGGTGTGCAATGGGTTGGTCGTATCTGTCTGTGCCAAATCAATTAGACGCTTGAAACGGACCACATTGAACCAAATACAACATGTTATGGTACATGTTCCCATGAATTTTATAAATACTAAAGAAAAAAAATCGAATTGACATTTGGACCGGACTAAAGAGAACCAAATGCATTGTTGCACACCCCCTAGTTCTCAAGCCTCGTAACCATGGTTTTCATATGGTAAGTATAAACTTTTAGATGTTGACATGTTTTATTTAAATATGAAGTTTCTTCATTTTGTTTGGAATGTTGTATTCTATTTAAATATGGATGTAGATTTTAGAAAAATAGCTTTCAAGTATGTTATATATACGCCTAACTTCATTTAGTGTTAATAATTTGTCACTTCCCTACATGTTTTGCTAAAATCGGCATGAACTTGCATAAACCAATTGTACCGCCGGTCGAACCATACTGCTCACCAAACCTATATAATACTATAAAATGGCTTGACAACCTTGCTTATGACTCGCATCAAGTCCAAGCAAATGCCAGTAATCCGCATAGTCGATACCTTGGGCGGGATCAGTATGCTGACATCACCAATGTGAGGACCATAACTAGCCATATGCAACCGCGAGTAGGATGATGCCGTCTCCGCAGCCATGAGAAGCAGGGAAACGATTCACGGGTATAGTTCCGAGTATCGTAAATTGTGTGAGAGTGTCACATCTACTATTGGCTATGATGGAGACTGAATTATTGAACTAACGATGGAGCAAAGTCGGTGGGGGAAAACAAATAAATGGCGGGATTTTAAGCAAACCCTAAGGCTGACATTTGACATTTTGATTTTAAGCATACCACTTGTCAAACCGACATAATGATATAAAACGTTTGACAACCTTGCTTGTGACTCGCACCAAGTCCAAGCAAAATGCCAGTAGTCCACGTAGCCGATATCTTGGGCGAGATTAGTATGCCGACATCCCCAAAGTGAGGACTGAAACTGGCCATTGGCAACGACAAGAAGGACGACGATGTCCACCCACCATGAGAAGTAGGGAAATAATTCAAGGGTTGCAGTTCTTGGCATCTTGAAGCACGTGAGGGTATCAAATCTACTATTAGTTATGCTAGTGAGTGAAGCACTGAACGAACGATGGAGCAAAGTCAGTGGGGTGAAAAGCAAAGACATGGCAGAATTTTAAGCAAACTCTAAGGCTGACATTTAACATTTTGATTTTCCAGAAGAAGATATGATAGAAACAAAACAATTGCTATTTTATCAATTGGACTCAGTTGTTGGTTATTTATTGTTTATGACGCTATTTGGGATTTATTGAGGGTATTGTTTATAAGGTAGAAGTTTAAGTAGTTATATGAGATCATCCAGTCATATACTCATATATAAACTGTAAGTGGGCATTATTCCCACTAAGCATAATCAAAAGAATAAAATACCTAAACTTAATCTTCTCTCTCTTCCCTCCCTCACATTCTCCCTCTATTCCTCGTTCTTCTTCTTCTGCCACCAAGTGGCTTCCCCTCTTCTTACTTCTTCCTCGCTCCTTTTCCCATTTCCCAAATTCCCTACTCTTTCTACCAAGTTCCCTAAATACTCGACTGGATAGAAACTGCGTTTCTATAATTTGTGTTGCAACCATCCCTCGAAATCGAGGGACCCATCGTGAAATGCTTTTCGAGTTACCATTGACCTTAATTGTAGTGGATCGTACACTTTTCTTTCGGCCTCAACCTTAGGGTTAAAACCAGGACATGGTATGTGAATCAATAGATTCTTTGGTTGTGCTTTGTGTTTGTGGATATCTCTGCCTCCTTCCTAGATTCTGTGGGAATGTTACTGCACTTTGCTTTTTAGTTGTCGTTTGTGTTATCGTGGGTCTCTCATGATTAACAAGAAGGGAAGAAGCATGGTATTTTGCTGAGAGTTTTGCTCTTTTTATATCTTTTTTGTTCGGTTGTATGTTTGAGGAAAGGGAAGTGGGAAGTTTTGCAGAGTTCCTCTGCTCTTTCGTGTTTTGTGGACAAGAAAATAAAGAAAAGGGGAGGAATTGTTTTCTTGAGTTGTTTCCCTCTGTTTTTAGTTCCCCTATCTATTTCAGTCTTTTTGTTTAGAAAGGGAAGGAATTTTTCTATGTGGGAGGAAAGAGTGACGCCTCTGTTTTGCAGAGGTTTTGATGTGTGGTCTTTCGATCAAAAAAGGAGAAGAAGAAGGGAGAAGATGAGGAAGAAAAAAGGTTGTCTGTTTTTTGTTGCTCGTGGGAGGAAGATGGATAAAGAAGAAGAAAGCAAAGAAGTGAAGCAGTTCCTCCCTCCTCCATTTCTCTGCAGCTCGAACCATTCTTTTATAGAAGATTGCTACAGTAGAAACACTATTTGGCTTGGGGTGGTGGCTTGTGATTGGTTTTGAGGTTAGTAGCCTCCTAGGTAGGCGTACTGTAGACAATAGTACCGGGTAAGGGATTGGGTTGGACCTGGTTTGGTTCATGGGGCGGACCAGAATGTTTGACTTGGTTGACTTGGCTTTTTTAAATTTTGTAATCGACATTTTAATCCGACATGTTCTCTATAATCATTGTAATTAATTCTAATTGTAAGTGTATTTTTCTAAATAACATTGTTAATTTTATTTTAATTTAACTTCCTTTTATTATTCAAAACCGAGGTCCAACCCTCACCCATGTAAAATAATCCAATCACCACTTGTGACCTCAATTAACAACGAGGTTAATCAATATCCTATTAACCATGCTAGAATGCTACGTGCCATACACTCATGAATGAAATCCAAAGTTCAAACCGAAATTGGAATCTCCAGATTTGCTATTGCTAATCTTATTGATTCAATCTCACATTAAATGCTTCAAATATTGTTTGAAAGGTTGTTTAATATTTGCAATGGCCAACCTCCAACAACTAAAATTTTCTTGATTAAATATATCTAACCCGGACAAAATGTGGTGTCTACAATTTGGTATTAGAGTCTTGTTCCGGAATCAAGTTATCACGACTCTAGACCGGGGACATTTAGAGGTAAGAAATGGCAATAACCAAATCGAAAATTGCAGTGGAAAAGGTCTCGGAGAAGGCTGCACAAGAGAAGTTCCCGACAGAGATGGTGGCGCAGGAAAAGATCGTGGTAGAGAAGAGGTCGACCCCCGCCGATTCAACAATGGCAGTTCCGACGTTGACCACGAAAATGAGGAGAGCGGGAGGAAAGGACAGAGGAGGTGTTGGACAACACAAATCTACTGGAGATCGAGGGTATTCTAAGTCGTGTGGCTGATATGCAGTTTGGCTTCGATCGGGGATTGCAGAAGGTTGAATCTTACGTCCTGGTCGTGGGCACAGTGATAGGAGGATGCAAAGAGGAATTTCAAGCCTTTAAACAGATGATGATGATGATGGAGTGATGTAGACGATGAAGATTTCATGGGTTGAACTGCGGGGCGTGGTCGCTGAGGCATCATCGGCCTTAGAAGCGGTGGTGGATGTTGACACTAGCAAGACGGTGGTTGAGGTGACACCAGAGGGCGGCTCGTGTCGCGCTTGTGGGGTCCAACCCTCGGATATGGAGGTGAGAAGCGTGCAAGCCAAGTCGCGATTGGGCCTCACAAAAGAGTCGCGCTACTACAGACCCTGACCACCCAAGAAATTGCAACGGCCCGTGGAAAGGCAAAGATGGCGGGCTACGACAACGTAATTCCAAGTTTGACATATGGGCTTCCGGAGCATTCATCCCAAGAAGGATAAAGTGGGCTCACAGTGGGCCAACAAGGATGGGGCTGGTTGGGCCAAGACAAGACAACGAGGATGACGAGATAAGCCTGGTCGACCGTTCTAGAGTTTGGGTCGATCCTCCCCATAGGTAATCAAGCCTAGGTCGAAATAGGGAGTGGACCCTTAAAGATGAAGATGGACCAAATCGGACCGGGCGAATTGAAGCTGGATGGACCGAGATCAAACCGGATCGGTCCACCCAGAACCTGAGGGCCACAGGCAGCAGAATGTTATCAAGAGAAAAAGGGACTAGGGCAACACCGATGCATTCTACCCACCTCTAATGGCTCCTCGGGCTCAAAAGAGGCAGTCGTGTAGGTTT